GAGTAATGGGCCAGTCGATATCACGAACGTGTCAGTGTTGACAGGTGGCTCGCCGTCATCGACTCGCAGTGATCCAGTGTTCTGAGGTTGGCGGGTCAACCATCTCGCAAGAGCAGCCTTGATGCGCGCGTTGATCTTAGAGTCCTTCCGCGCTTCCTCAACCTTGCGTACGGCCTCAGCTGCAGGCTGATAGGTCTTCGGACGTGCCGGGTGGCGTGGATTCAGGATGAAGCAGTCAGTGTACCAATGCTGCTTCCCACATACGCAGGTAGGAATTGATCGTGCACCGTCACGGCGACCGCGACCAGTCGATTGAGTCTCAGTCAGCTTCGTGATTCCGAGCTCAGCAGCAGAGACTGCCAGGCCTGTAGATTGAGGCTTCGTGCGGCGTAGGTATGTGGTCATCTCAGCGACGTATGTCTCAAGAGATGAGATCTCTGCAGTAGTGCCACGCGCTTCATGTTTGAAGATCTCGCGTAGGCAGGACGTAGCATATTCCTGATCCAGAGCCTTGCAGGCGATCAGAAAGTCCTCTTGCGGTCGGTTGCCGTCAGTTTCCGGCAGCGTGATTGATTTGCCTTGGGCGGTGATGTATACCCAGTCAGTGAGCCATTGCTCGATCTTCTTTGCAGCTCGTGGAGCAGTCTTGAGAGTGTTGTACTTGTCAGCAAGCTCGCGGCGGCGAGTTGCGTCAGTTGGGCAAAGGAACTTCTTAAGAGCGACCAGTCGGTCGTAGGGTGTCTCGTGATCCTTGATTAGGTGGATGTGGCGTACAGCAATCGTCTTGCTGATGTCTGTGTTCAGGTCGGCTAAGGCCTTCTTCTGGGTGCGGTACTCAGAGCGGCGGCGCTCCCATCGATCACATTCCCATCGGTAAGACTCTCGGTCGTCTGCAGTCAGGTCAGAGAGCCTAGTAGCTCCAGCCCGGTAGTCGATGAGTTGAGGCTCAGTAGCCTCCGTCAGCTCAGGGAGAAGCTCCCTAGCTACGTCAGGATTAATGTACTGCCAGAGACCGTAGCGGTTGGCAACGTCTCGGCGAATGAACAACCAGGTAAACCAGTCGTCAGGTGTGTTGAGTATGACAGTGACACGCGTCACTGCGGGATCAGACTCAGCAGCCATTGCAGAGGCTGTAGTCGTGTATGAATGGATCCAGGCAGAGATCCAGGCAATGTGCGTCGTGGGTGGACGCGGTAACAGGTGCGCTGTGGTAGACGCGGTATAGCAACGTGCGACTCAAGTAGAGTGACGATTGCAGCAGCAGGTGAGAACAATCCTAGGTTGCAGCCGGGCTCATAACTGTCGCAGTGAGTGCAAGCAGTGCGCAAGGAATTGAGGATTGAACTGAGGTTGTATTGTGTGAAGCTACAAACGGTATATCTACATAGGTGGCTGTAAACAGCGCTAGTGCAAAACAGGGAGTCGCCTCTCACCAAAGGTGAGGCGCGGGTTGCCTATGAGGCAA